GCCAACGTTTCGACCCGACTTTGCAGGTCTTCATCAGGGAGGTGTGTTCCTCTAGGAGTTTCACTTACAACTGAATAGTTTTACCACTATTTAGCCTTTTTATGACCGCAACCCCGGACCATCTCCTTCCTTTATAATGCAACGGTCAACCATTAAATATTCAATATGAAACTTATTTATATTCGTTCTTCTAGCTCCATTTGAACCTTTCCTTAAAAAGGAATACTTTTATGACTGAATGAAAAAGGACTTCTTTCGGTAAATCTGAATGCGGGGTGTTTCTATAAAAGAATTTTTAAAAAAAAACCTGTACCATTAAAATCCATGAAGGGTCTGGGGTTCAGTACTATTTAGGGAAAGCACTGTTTCTTAGTGCAAGGAGGTGATTTGACTGAGATCACGCTCAACCGCGAGGTTTTCCTCCTTAATTAATTATTTAGTTAAGGGTCTCCTGATCCCAGCGTCGCCCAGTGCAGATGAAACAGAATAATTAATTTTTCTGCCGTGAGCCAGGATTCAAACCCAGGATCTCGAGCATTGGAAGATCAGTGTCTTGGACCACTGACCACTGAGAGAGATGTAACCAGGTGAAAATTGAGTTCATGTGACCGTTTGCATTAATTTTTTTATAATGATATAAAAAAAATTAAAAATTCAGATGTCAGCTATTAAATATAAGATTTGTAATAATTCCATGTCATAAAATCTCATTCAAAAGAAAGGACAACTTTTTTTTAATGCCTACTCGCTTTGATAATATAATATGCCATACGGAATTATTACTGTGGTAATTAATATACCATTTTTAATGGAATGTCAAAGCTAACCATAATTTTAACAGATAATTAGTATCATAAAAAGAAACTGGTTCGAAATTCTAATTTTTACAATAATTTTAATAAATTAATCTGTCTGTCTCTCCTTTAGGTCGCGTACAAAAGAGGAGTAATTACAAACCAGTAGGAAAAAAAAAAATGCTGCCTGCAATATACCCATAATAAAAAATGTAACAACAATAATTCATATTTTAACTACCTAATTAAGAAAAAAAAATAGCATTTGTAATTCAAATGTATTCCATGTACAACAGCGTATTAGTTATGAAAATATTATATAATAATTTATTGTCTTGCTTTCAAAAGCTGGTTATAAAATATGAATAGAGCTTATGATACCAGTATATCAAATAGAACATTTTTTTTTCTATTATAAATTTGAACAAGAGAAAAATTTGCATTGGTCAATTAATTTATATAATAAAAATCCTAGTTAGGTTGACCTAAATCAGATGTTTATCTTGTTTGGCATTCTTTTTTTTCAATTTAATGAAAATCTTTGTATGTGTTACATTCGATTCACTGGGTGTTTTTACATGGGAATCGATACTTATTTCAATTTCTATAATAATCTGTTAGTGTTCACTTTGTAAAAAATCGAATCAATTTATTGACATCGATTTGTGCTCTCTTAGAAAAGCTTCAAATATGCACGAATTATAAATCAATACTAAATATTTTATGAATGAAAAGGGTCTTTAAGAGAAATATTAATTAAGTGAAACAGTTTTTTTTTGTTTAAGATCGTTAGAGTGTACGCACCAATTATAGACAGGGGGCCCAGTTATAGACAGGTTGGACTTTATATTTAAATAATAAGCTTCCTTGTTGATTAAAAGGTTCCAGTTGTTTCTAGATTGAAGAACAATGCCCTCTATTGACGACTGTTTGAACGAAATTCCCGAAAAAAAATTTAAAATGCCTATCATTTATGTTTTTATAGTGCTCTTGAGATCAGTGTGTTTCATACCTTCCTACTAACAATTTTGCTAAGAGTAAGTTGAACATTTATGTTATCTTACCTTTATAGTTAAATAAAGATTTTAGATTTTTTCTGAGGTATGTCCTTTACTTGTACCTACCATTATTAGAACAATTGAAGTTCGAGGTGTCCATCAATAGTGAAAAAAGGTGTTTATTTTTAAATGGCGATATACCTGCATAACTGAATATTTTTTTAATTTTAAAGTGTTAAATAGAAAAACGATACTCTAGAGATTCTAAATGTCCAACAGAGAAGTTTATAACTATAATTATAACTAAGTTTATAACTATAATAATACTGCGGCATAAGCCAAAAAACAAAAAAAGGTTTCCTTAGCTATGTCATTACTAGTGCGCTTACTCTAAATACTTTATTATTACTTGATGTCCAGAACTTAACTGACGATACGGCCAATTATACAGACTACTGACTAGAAAATCTCAAATTTCAATTGACAACAAATTATTGATCTACAAGACAATCCTGAAACTTATTTGGGCCTACGGACGTGAACTTTGGGGGGACAGCAAAATTTTCTAACATCAAACGCATCCAATCCTTTCAGTCCGAAGTCCTCCGAACAATAGTCGATGTTCCGTTCTATATAACCAACAAAACCTTACATTATGACCTTAATATCCCATTTGTCCTCGACCTTACCCCTGAAAATTTTTTACCTTTTTACCTTATCCCTATCTAGTTTCACTCATCCCTACAATCCTCCTCGAAGATTTCAGCGGCAGTGGCCCAGAGATCTTTGTAGTATATATCATGGAGTTCTGGCAATGGCCAGATTCTTCACTCAAGACATGAGTGTATGTGACTAAAGTGTTCTCGCTCAAACTCCACTGGTTTTAGTACCAGTGACGCTTTTGAGAGAGTAGCGCAGAGATCTCTTGGAGCCCTGCTTTTCCTTCAATAGTTGGAGGGAGAAGCCTGGGGTTCTCTGCCTGATTATGTAAAGGTGTGACTGTGTTTTTATGCTTTTAATTTACTAATCTTTAAGTTATTTTATTTTTTTTAATGTACATAGTTTTTGATTATTATTTTACTTTTGTTAATTTTATATTTCCTGTATATATGGTGTGAATGTGTTCATATATCGCTATAATTATTGTCCACGTGACAGATTATTATATTTCTAAATAAATAACTAAAAAAAAAATAACTTGATGTCCAGTCTTGAACTTTATTACTATTGTATATTTTACCATTTATTATGTCACAAAATATACAATATGTTTGTGATTGTTCTTTTGCGTTTTTTGTTCTCAACAAATCACTCGGTGTATTATCAAAACCCACAAATAAAGTGGCCACATACCTCACCGCACCGGAAATTAAACTGAAATGAAACAAAAAAAAAAGTTATAACGTGTTGGTACGTGCTCCATCAAGAGCCTGTTAAATCAAGTAGCGTATTCTCGAGAGAAAAATAGTTCAAGATATTGAATAGTTAGATCATCAATTTTCACAATTACGTTTCTTCAAATTCTGAGATAAATTTGTTAGTTCTATTTTTTTTTTTCGTTACAGACCTTGTAGATCTTTGGCCAAATGCATATGACAATCGATTTAAAATAATTCGAGATCTTAAATAGTTAGATCATATATTTTTCAGAATTATATTTATTAAAATTTTGCAGTCAATTTGATAGTTTTTTTTTTCTATTGGCATTTCAGACCATGCAGATCTTTTGCCCCCTTAACAAGCCTGCTCCATCTCTGCCTGTCTTCTGGCTATTTATTTCCGGTTATCTTGGCCTTCCACGTGGTATTTTGTCTGATATTTAAACATTCATTGTCGTAAAGAGGATTCCAGATTGCTCAGAGATACATACTCCGCCTATCTTTACCTCAATGCCTTCATATCATGTGATATTGATTGAACAGTTTCTGTAAGTAGCTCTTTATTGGTCTTTCTTCTCTATGTATTTGTACTCTGATCCCAGATCGTTCCTGTTATCAGGAGTTTGATTGTGATATATAGTTATATATACATATAATATACTTATCTTAAATACGTAATTTTAATTGCGTACAATTTTTCATTTTCTGCTAAGCTGTTCAAATATACTTACACTCGTACTAACGTGTGCGAAACGAGGTTATTTGGACCCAAGGCTCCTGAAAACGAGGATTTTAGTTGAAAACCCGGATTCAAATTATATTTTAGGATCGAAATATTTTCTATTACTACATACTGAAAATAAAAATATAATACATAAAAATGTAGTGTCGAACTGAAATAAACCTTATGCATCATTATTAAAAAAAGGTAGCATAGAGAGACTTGAAATTTCACTTGATCGTCAAAGAACTTTAGTGAACCAAGTAATAACAATGTCGATGCAGTTTGTGGAGAGTGAATTAGATTTCCGATGTGTAACGCTAGGGTAAAGTCGGCTAATAGAAATGTTTTCGCATTTGGATTAAAATATCTCAAAAAAGAAAAATCTACATATTGTTAGCAAGGGAAATTTTCACCATTCCGTCGTCTTTGTAATAAACTATTATTCAAAATTTTATCTTAACGCGACTTTGTGTTAGAGAGGAGAAAAGAGAAAAAATAGTGTCGAAAATCAAATGATAACGAGTTTTCTGGAAGATATGGATTAAAATATCTCAGAAACTAAAAATCGGACTTACATACTATAAGCGAGGAAATTGTTCAATATTTCATCCTCTTTATAATGAGTTATTATTTATAATTTATATTTCATAATATTAATCATGCATTGTTGATGTTTTCACTTCTATCTTGTGGTCTAAAACACTCACCTTAGTTGTTTTGTTTTTATTACTACATTCTGCTCTGACACAGTAGAAATATGTATCGAAAAAGTTTTAGTAAACCGGATGAACCGAACGTGTTAGAAGAAATCTCGGTTAACACGAATTATCTTTAAATGGACTGAAGAATTCGGTCCTAAACCAATTTAGAGAATATAATATAGAGGATTGGAACTAGGATGCCAACTTGAAAAACATTGGCTTTTCATCATTTAGGAACTATATATTATACCTATATGGAAAGAACATTACTTATTATCCACTTATTGCTGTGTGGTTTTAAATATAATAATATATTTATAATGATAAGCATTTCAATGATGACTATGCAATAATAAAAAATAAAACATAAGTTATATGGGTTTATGGTAATTAATCAAATAAAATCTATTTAAAGAAACATTTATTATAAAAATACAGAACCTATACAAATATACAATAAATAAATTAATATTAAACATTATTAATTTCATTCATGAAAATGTTACTAAAAGTTTAGTTACAATTTATAGTTTACATTACAAATTTTTAGTCAATCATTCATTTAAAAAAAAAAATCTAAAGTGATCTTTTCTAACACTAATACAACTCACTGGTTAACTGGACAGAACAGACTGTAATACGAGACACTAAAACGCGACAATTTATAATATACAATGATTTTACTAAAACTTATTTAAGTTAGGAACTTAATGCATAATATTTTCTACTTCAGCGAACAACTATTAAATAATATATGTAATTACAATAACAAAAAAAATAATAGATATGCTACACATGTTTTTTTTTTTAAATTATATTAATTTAATTTCTATAATAGGAATAGTTTCCTAAAAATGTTAGGAAGACTACAGATGGAGAGAAAATATAATATAAGGCAGTGTAGTTATTTACACAACTGGAAAACAGATTTATAAAATTTTTAAAAGTGTGCTTATGTGCAATTTATTTAAAAAGATTGGGAATATTTTTTAATGAAATTTATCTGCAACTTAACGTTACAGTTCTATAAATTGACGTATAATTTTATTAGTATCTTGTACTGTTATTTAAATTAGAACATGATTTTTTTATTTTATCCCAATTTTTTTAAATTAAACACTACTGGCTCTAAAAAAAAGAAACAACAACAAATTATTTCAAATTTAACGTACAAAGAAATTCAACGCCTTACATTTCATAATGTTTTTGTTTTTTTAAATATTAGTTCTTTAATTTAAAAATTGATAATCCTGCTTTAAAATTTACATAATTAATTCAGTATATATCTAAATCTGTGCATTCATTTAAATTGATATTTTATTACAATTTGATTAATAAATATATGAAATAAAGAATATTTGTTTTTTAACATTCAACACAAGATTTACGAAACACTTAAAGTTTTGTTGATTTAAAGGTTTAATTAATTAAAATAAATTTGTAGGTATTCGAAGTTCGTTAACTTCCAAATTTGTGTTGATCGTGATTTTTTGGGGGGGAAGGAGGGGAGAGGAAGGTAAAGATATGGAAGTCACAGTTGAGCAAATTTTATTCCAATAACGAAGAAATAAAATAATATCATATTTTAAATAATGATTAATTTATTGATTTAATGTATTTATTCATTTAAAAAAAATTAAGTAATGCTATTCACTTTATTTTTCAAAGAATAATCGATAAATTAATTATTATATGAGTCGTTAATTTCCTAAGTGAATCCTAAACATTCTTTTTTTTTCAGAAAAAACGAATAGTTATATTTTTTATTCCAATCGTTATATCGAAAACAATATTGTTTGAAAAATAAATCGATAATTCCCTGATTACTGCACAAATTTTCTAAAATCACTAATTATTTAAATAATAATTAAATAGCATTGAAATTTCAACAGGGCTGTTTTTTTTTTGTTTTTTTTTTTTAAATGAATTAAACTTTGAAAGGTCCGGGGAGGGAGGAATTATGAAAATTGTAATGTGAAAAATTAAGTTTTACGATAATGTTACAAGAAAATTAATTTTCATTAGTAGAAAAAGGCCTTTTCAGTCTCGATAAATAATAACTTTATTTCAAATTTATCCAAGTTTTCGCCCCTTCAGGGATATTCTGATTTTATATATAATTCAAAATTTTTATTCGCTTTTTAGCGAAAACACTTAGTCAAAACTTAGGTTTGGGATCATATTATCTTACCCTTGTACATTGTTTTCGATTATTATTTTACTTTAGATAATTTCATTTTTTCTGTATATATGATGTAAATGTGTTCATATCTCACTATAATTAATCTCCCCTTGACACATTATTATACTTCTAAATAAATAAAAACAAATTAAATAGAGGAAGTTTGTCGTTTTCCATATCAAAAACGCTCCAATTCTTAAAATTTGTAGGTTTAATAAAATATTTGTAGGTTACGATGAGATGAAGCTCTTTACGAAGTTTCAGGCGGGTGTTAACAAGATAAAAAAGGGGTCTGTACCACGGACTATGATTAATGCAAATGTGTAAAAGTTTACATTTTTTTAGCTGAAGTTAGAGACCTCGTATTTTTTATAGAATAATAATTATTGATATGACAGCAATTAAGAGCATAATAATTCGACTAATTCTCGTAAATCTAATGTGAATGTAAAATAACCATTATAACAAGTTATGATTTCATGGTAGGAAATAAACAAAGGAAGAATAAACATTGAATCAAATTTATTGTTATGATAATATTCTCTTCTAGAATACTCGTGCAAGAAACTGTGTATAATACAATTCACCAGCTTGACAACCTAATCAACTCTTGAATAGGTGAAGGGACATTATTTTTTTCTTTTATTTTTTTATAAACCTCGAGACCGCATAAAAACTATAATAACTTAAGAAGCAATGAATTTTTATTGCAACGATAAAAATAAAGGTTGAAATATTTTAGGCTCTCTCGAGGTGCCATATCTACCGCTTATGATTATCATATAGAAGCAGTTATCACAGATCATCTAGGCTTAATGTTGGAACGTCCAGCTCCTCATATCGCCCCTGGAAGTCTTCTTTGTCTTCCTCGGCCTCCTGGAATGCCGCTGTTCTTCGAGGATTCCTTCAGTCCTCCTTGGACGGCACCGTGGAGTGGTTGTAGAGGCCCTGTGCCATCAGCTGAAGAGCCAGAGGGTTCCTGTTACCGGAGGCCTTCTTGATCTTGGCCCTCTTGTTCTGGAACCAGATCTTGATCTGCGCCTCGTTCAGGCCCAGCTCGGAAGCCAAGGCTTGTCGTCGCTTTTCGGTCAGGTATCTGAAACAAAAGAAATTCGTTTCAACATCGATTTTCGAAGTTCAATTCAATAAATCAAAATTTAAAAAAAACATATTAATATGTAAAAATTAATAAGTACACGTATTCAATTTCTGTCTAAGTTTTAATTTTGAATGTCCAGCAAAAATCGATCTGATCGCAGGCGAAGATTTGATTGTAAATTACGAAAGTATTTGTTATTCTGAGTAAGAAAAACCTTGTCTGCCGTTCCAGAGCCGATGCTTTCAAAAATGGCGGCTGGTTTGAAGAATATTAGGCCAATAATTTGAGGATCGAAACGAGAAATCCATTGCGAAAAACGTGCGAAAAGTTTTGTGTATTTTTCAATAAAATGTGTTTTTGATTTAATACGAAGCTATAATTAAAAAAACATTTAATTTAAGTTTAAGTTAACATTTGCTACACGGTACAAAATTTACTTCAAATGAAATTAGATTTTGTCATTTTTAAAATCCTTTAAACAGAATTTATGAGTGTCTAAACTAAGTTCTGTTTTTAAAAAAATCATAAATTATTCGCGATTTTTTTTTTATCATCATCCAACTATACTACAGATACCCTATTTTCAGAAACAAAATCTTCGTATAGTAAATTTTAAGTTTATATTTATTAAAATGAGGTTTATAAGAGAAAAATTTGAGTTTCCCCTCAAGTTGTGTAAACAAATAATGTGATTTTTAATTCCTAAAAGTATACCTGTTTTCAGCAAAAATGACTAAAATTGATTGTTGCAAAACTTTTATTTCTCTTGTTTTTATGATCTGGGATTTATTATAATAACTTTTAACTGTCAAAATAACCTGTTTATTTATAAAAAAGATAAATTTTAAAAATACTGATTTTTCAAATTTTGATATGTATAATAGGTATAATCTTTATTTATAAGTGACAAAATAAATAAGTGTTCCTGATACTGATATTAACGTTTTCATAAAAATAAGTTCCTAATTTTCTCCTTAAAATTAAAATTAAACTTCTGACTTTATTCCATCTGTTTTGTTTTAAATAAAACTTGGGGGGGGGGGGGTAAAGTGAAACCCTTACAAAAGCCACTTTTTTGATACGAACTCAAATTTTATTTCAATAGTCAAATTTATTAATTTTTTTAATGGGGTAAGATAAATTATTTGTAATAGTTTAAGTTATTTATTTATTTCATTTTATGATCTATCTGTAATGTTGTTAATACTTTTCAATTACAACAAACGAAGAACCAATGTGCATTTATGTGATATTAATTAGTCGAATTATTTATTATAGATTGTTACATTTTTATATATAAAAAAAAAAAGGTTTTATTTTACAGTCTATTTGTTATATTTATACATTATTTATGATTATTACGATGAATACATTATTTATTGAATTAAGTAAGGTAATATTTTTTTTTAAATGTATGGATGAGAATTTTTCAACTCAATATATGAGAAATATTATTTATTGATTTTACACTGTTGTTATTAATTTATGGTACAGAAAGTAAAATCCCCAAATCCATGACCTTTTTATCCATGATTCATTTTACCCAAGTCCTTCAATTCGATTCTCATTCCTTTACCAAATTTTAATTTCCCACCAAATTTTACTTTTGGAGGTTTATAACTATAATATATCCTTAAGAAAAATTGGCAGTTACCGCATTAAGTGTTCTCACCATGTTTTTTGTTTTGATTAAGGATCAAAATGTAAGAAATAAATGAAGCTTTTTATTTTTCTAAACAGTTCTCATTTTAGTAGTTAGAAAAAAAAATGAGATGACTGACAAAGAAATACAATTTTTACTATAATCCTCCAAAAAATTATTTCAATCCTCCAAATCAAAAAATATATTTTGGATGACTAAAGATAAATTTGGCCAGAAGAAAAAGAAAATGTTGGCGTAGATAATATTATTATCAAAACCTAAAATAATTCTTTAGAAATTAGTCTGGTTGAGTTAAACATGACTTAACAACTGGTCCTCAAAATTCAATTTCTTTATATTGCCAAGATTAATAGAATGCATGGTAAAATATTTGAATTCGTTCCAAATTGAGAAGCTTTGTGGCTATTTAAAATCTTAACAAGTTTGCGTATATCTCATAAGATTTGTGAGTAATTTTAAACATTTTTATAGATTTATTGTTTTATTTTAGTTTGTTTTGTGTTTGGAAATTCAAATTATGACAATCAAGAAACATTTATGTTTCATTATATATTTAAACTTATGACTTCATGTTGTACAATATTGAACTGCTGGATTTATTCCTCAAGGTTTATTTTTGAAATTTGTTTCTGAATTTAATTTATTATAAAGGTAGGGGTGGACGAAAATGTTTGATATACTTGTCTTAACACCATTCCTGCATTTACAATTTTCAACCCATTAACACTACAAACAAGGACTGTTGAGTTTTAATAAAAAGAAGAAATAGTTTAGACTGAAAATAAATTTTAAAAAAGTATTTGATAAGCTTATACACAATAATTCTTATACGAATCCTAAAATATGTATATTCCAATAATTGAATCACAAATATATGTTGTATAGTAACCATCTATTTGTCTACTAAAATAATTCGAAATTTATGAAGGTATAAATCAGCTTAATATTTAAAAGAGTTTCTGATATTAATGATGTCATTAAGAGACATACAAATAAGTTATAAAATATAACTGAATTTTTTCGAATTCTTCCATTACCTCAACTAATCCTAAATCCTTTCTAAACGCCTACAATTCTCCCTTATTATGTCACAAATCAAACTATTCACAACCATCTTAATATAGTTTATGCCAGAGATTAGATCCGAAATCCTTTCATAACGAATCCTAATATCAGACAAAAAAATGACGTCAGGTCATTATATTTCTTCTATAACGATCTAAGGATATGCTCGAATGATTTTGAAAAGATAATGCCCACACAGACTGCTTGTTCATAACGATATAACCTAGAAAAAAATTTAATAATCACGGATCTTATTTAAAAATGTAATCGTATTTAAATAAATATATTTAGAGATTTTTGAGAATAAATAAATATTTTGTTTGTTTGAGAAAAAAAAAAAAACATCAAATACTATTCAAGGTCTATGAGTGGTGGAATGAGAATATAATCTACAGAAAAAACTGATTTTGAAGATTAGTCTTGTTAAGAAAAAACGCATATCAAAGCGAAAGATGTAGATAAAAGTTGATAAAATCTATAGAACCTAGATCTAAAAACACATAATCCCTGAAGATTACATCAAATCGAATCTACGACAGTAAGTGTCCATGTAATTCATATGAATTCCAAAACAAGCTACATTTTAAATTAAATTTTTTAATATAGTGAAATAATAATGATAATAATACGGCATAGCGAACCCGAAGGTTCGATGCCGATACCATCAATACTTCCATCCACTGGGCTAAGTCTAAACCCTACCCCGCCAGATCAGCCTTAATGCAATCTTTCCATCTTCGATTTGGAGAGATTCTTTCGTTACTAAGTCCAGCGATTTTACATGTCCATTTTATTCGCCTCAACTTAATCATTTCAATTATAGTAAACGGAGCAGTTAGTGTAATTCAGTGTAACCGCCTAAATTCTCCGGTTGACTCTTCTTCGGTCCGAATATTCTGTGCAACACTTTATTTTCAAAAACCTTAAAACGTTGCTCATCCCTTATTGTAAGCGGTCACGTTTCGCATCCATAAAGAAGTGTAAAAAATATAATGGTTTTGTAAATTCTAATTTTTAAATTTCGAGACAGAAGACGAGAGAACTAAGTAGTTTTGACAAAGAAAAATAACAATATTGAATATTTAATAGTTGACCGTTGCATTATAAAGGAAGAAGATGGTCCGGGATTGCGGTCATAAATAGGCTAAATAGTGGTAACATTTGTACAACCAAACCAAATATAATTATAATTATTAATTTTTTTTCCCTCTCTATACTTTTAAGTTAGTTCTGCAATGTATGTAACTGAAGTTATTTCTATATTGATATTTTACTTTTGCCAATTTTGGGTTTATTCACATTGTACTCTGATCTAGAATCTCTGAACTCTATTTTATATGTATATTTATATATTTATAATTTAATATTTCAGAGATATAGTATTTTTCCATAGTATCCATCCATATCTTCAAATTTTAGATTCTGTAATTTCCTAGGTTTTTCCCAATTACTCAGTTAACACATGTCAGCTTCTCCTGTACCTGCTACCCTTAGCATTTGCTTTCCAGTTCTAAGTGAAACTCCTAGATGAACACACCTGTAAGTCTCTAATTTTATTCTTCCAATTTTACTTACTTATTTATCTAATTTTGGTTTTCTTTTTCTTTTCTTTCGCCACATTCTTTTATGTCTATTATTTCATATTACATCCTTTTCTTTCAATCTCTCCTGTAGATTTTGTACAAGTATATTCACATTGTCATTTATTATATTCTAGTAGGCCCGTGCGAAAAATTCGCACAGCATATTGTTATCAAATGCCAAATTAATAAGAAAACAAGAAAATGCAACTTCTCAAAAGATTAAGACATCAAATATTACTTTATCGGTAAATATAATCCACAAATCAAACAAAAATTAATTTAAATCTTCATTTTTGTTTGGAACCAACATGTATACAAATTTCAGTAAGCTGTATATTTGCTAAAAATTGTCCGATTGCGATGATTTTTTTTCCCTTTTGTAGGGAATTTAGTAGTCTTTTAGGGAAAAGTGTGTAATTTTTCATTTATTCGCAAATAAAGTTTATTTTCTTTCATAACTTGTTTGCATGATTTTTTGGGTGATTGGACTATTTTGCCAGCCTGAAGGAGAAGGAAGCCTTCGAAATTGGTGGCTCAATCTTGAGATTTGGTGAAAAATTAACGATGATATGGCTTGCCGATCAAAACCGCCATCGATGAATAATATAAACTCCCCCTCTCTCGATGATAGAGAGCTCAAGTCGACGAAATGAGACATGTATTCAATGACAGCACTACAATTAATGTAAGGTTGTGTGGATACGAACCCTATGCCTTGCGTTATCTCGAAAATAGTACGTTTTTCGGCTTAAAAATGCAGGATCCGATAGTTCCGAGGGAACTATCCGGGTCTTGCTGTACGCATCAAAATCATTAAGATCCAATTTGTCCCGTATCGATCTACAGACCTACCACCGTTCCAGTATCGAAGCCTAGCAAAATGTTTTTATCGACTTTATTTATTTTAGAAAGAAAAACAAAAGTGGAGAATCCGATTCGCTAACTCCCCCCCCCCCCGTGAAATTCTGAATCCAACGGTACCCCATTCGTGGTATTCGAGCATGACAGGAGCTTGTATTTGGTACAAAACCGATTTCGAGCCTTACTGTAATAATATATGTACGGGTTACACTACAACAATTGTTAGCATCTATTTACTTCAGTTTAGGATCTTGTTCCTCAGCTTACTTTGTTCATATTTTATTGCACTTACTGTTTATAATTTTAATAAGCTTATTCACATAGTTTGTAAATTATGTCAAAATATTATGTAACTACCACAATTCTCTATCTTTTTGTATCTTGTCCGTTCTAGCTCTGATGAAGACCTGCAAAGTCGGGTCGAAACATCAGCTTTCAATAAAATAGTTTTATCACTATTTAGTCTATTTATGACCGCAACCCCGGACCATCTTCTTCCTTTAAAAATAACAATAGTTTCTCGTCTTCAGCCTAACCTTAATATCCTCCTCAATTTCGTTTTTTATATTTATCATAGACTCTGGATACTTCTATACGTATTCAAACACATTTCCTTCTATATCGATATCATCGAAATTGTCGCTGTTTTTGTAGGTCACCATATATTTTGTCTTATCCGTATTTATCGCGAGTCCTAGTTCTTTACCGGCTTTCATCAATGTTGTTATATTTATTTTTATTGTTTCCATGACTTCGCTTAATTTTACCATATCATCAGCATATCCAAGCACGAATTTTGTTCCATCCAGGTTCAAATCTTTTGCGGAATGTATCATCTCTCTAGTGGCATGTTCTAATGCCAAGTTGAATAGGACAGCTGACAGAGAATCCCGTAGTTTTAAGCCGAATTTCTCGGATAAATAATAAACGATTGTAACTTTATTGAATGTTTCGGGCATACCCATCCTTACTAGATTCATTATTTTTTTTGGAGGGGGAGAGGGGGAGGGTATCCCCTGCTCGATTAGAATATCATACAACTTCTGGTGGTCTATGAAATTATAAGCCTTTTTAAAATCAATATAAAGCTAGTGAACAACACTGTTTCACTCTATTTTTTTCTTTAATATTTATCGTAGAGAGAATATTTGATCAATAATCGAACGGTTCCGCCTAAATCCGTATTTGTAGTATCCGATAATTTACTACGTGATTCAATTAGTTATAATACAGTTTAAAGCCTACTATAATATAAATATTTCCATAAGTTCACAATTTATAGCCATTATCTTATAAAAAATAAAGAATATTATTATTGAAATGTTAAATGGAAATGATACTAAACCATTAAACGGCCAATAGATACCTAATTATTTATATATAATATCAGATCTAGAGTTATTAAATTATAATAAATGTATTTTTACATTTAAATATTTTTATATTTCACTACTTCTTTCACACAAGGACAATGAAAAAGTATTTTAAACAATGGTATTGGCTTGATTCGGTGGTTTTCAAAAACTTTTTCTCAAACTAAGAAAAAAATGAAAAAGTTTACATTTAGTAAGAAAATTTCATTTAATTTCCTTGGAAACATATCATTTATGTTAAATAATGTTAGTTTTCTGAAATTATTATTTTATTTTTTTTTTGTCAATCTTCGTTACGTTCTACAACTTTATTTATTTGATATTATTTCCGGAGATTCATTTTCGACCTGTATAAACATTTTTCTTTTTTTCTGCAGTTCTTTCAAAAGCCATTTTTTTTTAGTTACTGTCAATAAAAGAGAGTTAAATTTTCAAAATAAATTATATTAAAGCTACTTTACAGGAAGACATATATGAACATTGGGCATTTAAGCCCTGTAAAATGGCATCAATGGAGATAAGACTTAAATGGTATTTAAAACCACTTAATTATACAATGATACACCGAGTTTAATCAAAATCGTTAGTTTTTGAGAAAATTGTACAAATGTGTTTCACCGTTGATATAAAAACCCACTTCCTGTCAGCCGATTTAAAGGAAAACTTGCTGTCACATCTAAGGCATATACCTATTTTAAATACGTAATATCACTTTCGAACGACTTTGAACTAGTCTGTTCTCATACACACACACACACACACACACACACACACACACACACACACACACACACACACACACACACACACACACACACACAGAACAGTTTGCCTGACTTGGTTATTTGGACTCAGATGACCTCATAATATGTATTTCCGTTGAAAACTCGGATTCGAAAATTTTCACGACCGCAATACTAATCCTTACTATATATTCCATATATAGGTAAGTAAAAGTAAAAATATAAATATATATTTTTTATAATTATTATGATAAATATATTTAAAACTCACTTGTTTATGCTGAATTCAGTCTTGAGCCTGGCGAGTTGCTCACCGCTGAAGGCGGTTCTTGGCCTTTTATCTTCTCCGCTCTTCTCTTTCCTTTTTATCCTTTTCGTCCTGGGGCCTGGAAAATATAATATTTAATTAAAATAAATAAATAATTAGATGTTTATAGTATAACAGAATATATAACTAATATATATAAGAGCTAAAATATACTAGTGGCTAGATGTTAGTAGTGAGGTTAATATATATTGGTTAGCATCTACGATCTCATATGTTAAATAATAATTTTTTTTAAATCTTATGCATTTCACATACGATATACCATAGTAATATACATCTTATGTTACTATAAAAAATAGTAAGATTTCCCCGTAGTTGGATAAACATAACATTGAATTTAATTATTATAATGTTTAAAAAAAATTCTCCTAAAGTAAATTTTTTTTGCAAAGTCCAAAAATGCAATGGTTTTATAAATTTGACTTTTTTGTATCTTTTGGCGAATCGGGGGAGTGCACAGAGGACGACCCAATAATTATCGACCTTTAAGAAGAAGGAGGAATTAAGCAGGAATTTGTAAGAAAAGAAGTCGAGGACTTAATCATCGGGACGAGGAGAGATCACCTGCTGCATGAAGAAAGGATGCAGCATTGAAGAAAAGGTAAAACCGAACCACGGGGCAAATTAAATTGAATACGTTAGTTTGGTTAACGTACGTGTTAACACGACAAATATATTCGTACAAAGAAGATCACTTATTTTCTTTTTGTCGATTCAGGAACATTAAGTTTTGATTCATAAAGCGTTGCTCAATAATTAAATAATTTAATTAAACAACATTGGCTTTTGAGATCTCGTATTTACAAGGGAGGCAGATATATTAAAAAATATATACTTTCGTTACATCTAGAATCTGATAAATAGAGAAAGTTTTTATATATATATATATATATAAAAAAAGGCAAATATTTACATATATTATAA